GCTCCTTCAGCTCCAACAAAGATTACTGCAGTTTCTTTACTGCCCCGCTGTTGGCAACTCCAGCACGACTTAACTCTGTAGTTTATGGCACCAGGAAGTGTGTGTGTGTGTGTGTGTGTGTGTGATATAGAGAGAGAGAGAGTGTGTGTGTGAGAGGAGTGGTGATAAGGAGCCAGCTGTAAACCGTCGCGTTGGAGCGTGAGGATCTATCGGCTCTTATCAAGGCAGTGTTTCCGGCAGGACTGCGTGATAGCAGGGCGGACATTGGCGGTGAGATGCATCGCAGGTATCTAGATGAGTCGAGATTAAATTCCCTGGATTGAGATTAGCATGGAGTCTGCCCTCTGCCTTATCACTCCGCCGACAGAGTGAACCCTGCCCTGTTCTACTTGGCAGGACGCGGCAAATAAAATAAAAAAAGGTGAAAGGTGAAAAAAAGCTACAATTATTATTTGTAATCCCGGATTATTAATGTAATGATCATTGTAAAATAGCTGCAATGGGGACCAAAGCTGAAATGCGTTAATCTTTAAGAATCAAGATCGTACTTCAGCAGAATTTTTAAAAGTGAAAATGTATTTATTTTTTGCAATGGAATACTGCAAGACTGCAACATGAAGGCAAAGACTGGATGCATGGCAATTAGCAAGAGGAGTTGAATTACAATAACTTCCTTTTACTGAGGTTTTCCTTGCTGAAAGTTTAGAAAAGTTGTATTAAAGCTGCAGTCAGTCACTTTTTCTTGTTATTGGTATGTGGTGAAAAGGTCACACAAGCAATCACTGATTGATGTTGGCACCGTTAACTGGACGGAAGAGTGTTCAGCTTTGAGTTTAGTTACAGTTGTTTCGTTTCTCTACAGTCCCTAAGTGTGGAAAAACTCCCTCCAGGAGTGCCTGGAGGTGGTAGTGTAGAGGACCGGAGGCAGTCAGAGTCGAGCAGCTTGTTAAGTGTCAAATGTCCACGCTACCGATCGTGTCCCATTGAGTCATCGCGTGGAGGTCTACATAATGACAGGTGGCAGATGATTCAGTGAGGTGGGAAAGGCTGAAGGGAGTTAAGCTATTAAGTCACAGGTGCACCAGGGTTTAGTCTGAACCACATTCTTTGCTGCAATAGAAACACACGCACACACACACACACTGTGTCAGGAGGTAAGACATTGTGACATAGTGATTCCGACATCGACACAGTTATGCAACTAAAACTGGGCTGCGCAGGAACAATCTTGACTATCACTTGACTCATTCCTTCTTTTGCCACACTTTCCTTTTTTCTTTTTCTTTTTTGTCGCATGACTCGTCTTTGTTTATACAGCAACAAGTCACTCTCACAAGTCTGTCATTCACGGGCTGATTGTACAGTGAAGAGCTTAGCGGCGTAGCTCACACGTCACTGGAGCTAAAAGCAGTCTGGTTGAAGCGGATGAAGCCCGTTTGTGTGCGTGCGTTTTTGTGTGTGTGTGTGTGTGTGTGTACTCAAGAATGCTCGTTCCAACGGTGCACTAACCACACACACCTGGCCCGTTTCCTCCTCTGCTCATATATGGGCAAAGCTTCCCCTACCTGGGCCCCACTCTGAATTCCAGTAAGTGGCAGTATGTGTGCGAGGAAGAGGCTGCGGAGACGGCCGCACGTCATGGAAAAGCAGGATCAATGGGCAAGGCGTTTTTAAGGTGTTCCTTTTGTTTTCCAAAAGGTAATCAGTTAACACAATGACTCAGCCTGGCTGCTTATTCAAAGTGGCTGCAGTAGGAGGACGTCAAGAAGGAACTGTGGTCGCGCAGCTATCGTACAAACTGAATGCAACACTGAGGCAACGAGAACTAAATCCCTGTAATTCCCTGTGGATCAGTGGGATTATTAAATCAAGAATCAAGATCTTGATTAAAAGATAGGGGTCTGATGGCTTCATATATTGAAACGGAGTTATCTTCCTCCAGTCTCCCGGGGTTAATTATCCGTGAGTGTGTTAGTATTTAGGGTGGAGGCAGTTCAGGTATCAGTAGCCAGCGTCTCAGCACTCTCAAACAGAGCTTACATTATAACGTTACACGCTCAACGTTGCCTTGTGTTTGGGGCTAATGAAGCAGATTTATGGCTGTGTTGGCCAGGGTGCAGCGCTAGTTCTCCTTAAACCCTGTGACCCCTCAAACGGGGACGGGGGAATACAGGAATGCCCTTGCGCTGACTTCGGAGGATGGGAAACATTTCAACCTTCTATCCCTCCTCTTACTATACATTTCTACCCCCCCTCCCTTTTTTCTGCCGCCTGCTTTCTTTGCCCTCTGTGCACATTTGCCAGGCCTTCATGAAGCAGCTCGAGGAGGGAGTTCGCTTTCCTTGGTTCATCTTGCCAGCTCTTTCCCATCAGTCCAGCCCCCTGGAAGAGCCTGCAGACACCCCTCTCTCTAGGCCTGGGGCTGGGGTATGGTTTGAGGCTGGGTCTCTCCCTCTGGAGAAGCGTTTTGGCTCTCTGGTCTATGGGCCTTGATCCAGTCTTCACTTCAAGTGACAGCTACCTAGCAGCACCCAAAGGAACCATTTGGGATCGCTTTACATGCAAACTCTGTTTCATCTCCTCCGTTTGTAATAAGGATAGAAAGTTAGAGGGGGAGAAAGACGGAGAGGAGGGGGAGGAAGTGACTTCAGCAGTCTTTCTGGCAGTGAGTGCCGGTTGGATAGCAGGAGAATATTCTGGGACAGGGAATGACTTTGGATAGGGAACAGAGGTGGCAGAGAAGACCGAGCTTCCATAACCTCTGTCTCCACAGAATCGGAGCTATTGGCTTCCACGCTTTCACTCCCCCATCACAACCAATCAGACTCTCCGGCTGGGGTCTAATGGGAGCCGAGAACTGATATCTGATTGGCTGCTGGCCTCGTGGAATGACTGCTTAATTGGCAGCAAGCTGTTGGTGAGCTGTTGGCTTGTCTCATCTTGCAGACCAAGCATCTCTTTCAGCCAGTGAAACCATACCGATTGGTGCAAAGTCTGATGAACCCAACAGAACTGTGTGCAAGATGAATATTCTTACTTACCATCGGTATTTAGTATGAACAATCCTTTTTTTAGTGAAAATATATTTTTTTAATATGATTTTCACGCGGACTTTATGTCCACTCATGTCCAAAAGTTTCTTATTTCTGAAATTCAATTATCTGATTAATGAAATAAGTTGTATTATTATTTAAATGTCTTAATTGTGAAATATGTTTGCACCTAATTGTGAGCACTGATACATTACCAGATTTCTTTTGGAAGAATAACTGTAGATAAGGTGCGCTGAGCAAGAACAGGAGGGGAACTTTAAAAATGGAGTGAGGCACATACTGTACACACACACACACACACACACACACACACAGAGGCAATGCATCCACACCCAGCTCACACATCCTACACACCCACCCACCCACCCACCCACACATGCCCACACATACTTGAGCACACAACCAATGAACCAATGTCCCCTACTGCAGAAGTGCAACTTTTCTTTGCACAAGTACACACACACGCACACACACACACACACACGCACACACACACACACACACATAGTTGTACAGTGGTCACCACCTACTTTGAGGCTAAGGCAGGGTAATGATTCGGTTCCTCTTTGCTCCCCTCAGAATGTGTGTGTGTGTGTGTGTGTGTGTGTGTGTGTGTGTCCATACACATACAAGTTGGGTTGTATATGCTGTATATGTGTGCACAGTTGTCACTTTGTGAATGTATGTGTGTGTGTGTGAATGTGGATGTGGTCAGGCCCAGTCATCTTCCAGGCAGCTAAGAGGAAACCCACATCAACTGCCATACACCACACTCTAGGAATAGACTAGCCCAGTGCAGGCAGGAATAGCACGCCTGGCCTCACCCACCCACCCCCCTCACACCGGCTCACCCATCCTCAGGCCTCCTAGCACTCACCCCTTCCTAGATCCACCTTCATCAACCTCTCGTCCACTGCACCCCACACTAAAGGCTCCTTGTAGAATCCCTTCGGTCATTCTGTTTTGTGTCGCATGCCATCCCTCCTTTAACCCTCCCATGATAGTCTCTAGCGATCTCCAAGCCCATCAGCTGTCAACCATTAAGCTTCTGCAGGCAAGGGGCTATATTTCTGGGGTTCCAGTGTAGCCGGCGGATATTCGGAAAACGGATATCTGGGCCAAGACTTCCTCTTCCGTGTGCTGGTCATTGTTTATAGTCCCATTAGCGACTTAAAATGCGAGAATGGAGTTGGAGTTGAGCAATGGATTGTTTCACAAGTAGCCAGTTTACACTCAGTCGACTGTTTTTAAGCTAATAAAATAGCTAAATCATCGTGAGATGATGGCTTTCTACACGGCTTGTTTATCTGCATGCAACCAAATCTTGCTCAATCGTGATGAGTCAATACTACTCGGACTACAAACGGACACCAGAGTGCCTCCGGTAGATTCTGCATCCGCGTGCAGATATCCGTTATTAGAGATTAAGCCTCTAGTTTAGTGCCGAGAACATGATCCTTACGATCATTATGGTACCACTTTCTGTAGCCACACGTCTCTGCTCCGATCATTCTGCCATGAGCTGGTATCACTTCATTGAAAAACCCGTGTTTTTCACTTCCTGTGTTGTCTCTAGTCTGCCTCAGCCTCTGACCTTGTCCTGCTTTCACAGCCTGTCTCACAAACCAGATGCTTCACTTTCAGTGGAAAAAAAAAAAATTGCGTTGCGTACGTTCGACCTCTCTGCCCAGCGGCGGTGGCAGCATCACCAAAGCATGGAAAAAAAAGACAGAGATAAGACATAGAGGACCTTATCTCCAGCTCTGTGAGCTTACTCAGGCTGTCCGGTCTGGAGCTGTTAATATCACACTTGTACTTATAGTGCCGTCGACAGCTTTAAAATACAGCTGTGCTTATTTTTTTTGCAATCGACATCCTGTGTAACAGATTTAATTTGTATTCCTGTATATCTGTTAAACTCACGTATCTCTTCTCTGTATGTTTCAGGTTGGCCCAATTCTGCACAGAGTATTCCAGGAACACCGCTGAACAACCACGTGTTCCCAAAGCCATTCCCAGGAGAGGTAAGAAACATCATTCAAAACATTATCTTCACCTCTTTACATTTGTCACCCACATCGCCACGCTCTGTCTGGAGACTGTTCTACCTCCAGCTGAGAACAGAGGCCACATCCCTTTATACCTCTTCAAATGCCCCTCTATAAAGCTGCAGCAGGGAGATCTTTGAGTCTTACGTTTACGTTTACGGGTTCAATTCAAAGTTGTGTGGGGTATTTGAATCAACGTGGTACAAAACCGGCATGTAGAAAGAAAGCAAAGTGAGACGGAAGAAGAGACAAACACAGATAGGACAGCTAGAATGTGAGGAGGGAGGAGGAAAGAGGGGGAAGGGGGAGCGAGCCAGCACATTTCCCTTAATAACAAGAAATTGGAGTCAAGTGACCATCAGCTGGTCGCACTATGTTTGATCCATACGGTCATGAGGCCTCAGGTATGCAGACCACAGAGTGAGAGAGGAGAGGGATGAGCCGTGCTGTATGCTCCTCTCTTCTCTAGTCACCTGTGGAGGTCGTAATTCATTAAGATCGGGTCAGTGCTCCCATTATGTGACCCATTAAGTGTTGGAGCCCGCATAGCGGTGGCTGCTGCCTGTCGTGCCTCAGGGTTAAAGGTAAAGAATGACAGGAATCTGCAACTGATAATGCCACGCTTGGAGATGTTAGTCAGCAGATAATCTCCCATATCCTTCCCTTCCCTCGGGCTCATTTTCTCCTTCTGCTTGATCTCCTTCCCACTCTGCTCGCTACCACCGTACTCTCCCTTCTCCTCCACCCCCTGCATCACTCAATCTTCATCCTCATCATTTTCTGTTTCTCCTTCCTGTCTCACTGCTCCCTCTTCGGACCGCTGTAATGTGTTAATAATGGAGCTTTTTGTTCTTTCTCCTCAGACGGACTCAGCCGTCTCTACGGAAGTGCGAGGCTTCCCGCCGAGGCAAGAGCGAAACCGGCCGGCCTTCACGGTTCGCGGCTCTGTGGCCGCTGTCAGTTGCTCAGTAGGCAGTGTAGATCCTGTGTAGCAATCAGCAGCTACATCTGGCTACTGGGTCTCCGACGGCTTTGCCTACTTCCTGGATCGAGCATGCCTGGTCCACTCCCATTGGCTGGTGGCACATTCCAATCCTCTGATTGGCTGCGAAGTCGGGGGGGGGGCTCCATCCTGTGACCCCACAGACAGGATGTTCTCTGTGTCACAACTCCACAAGGGGCCCTTGTCAAGGCTTTTTGTGTTGTTTTTTTTTTTTTTTCACTCCTTCCTCTTCCGCCATTCTTTTAATTCTCCCCGTTTCTGCTTCTCTCTCTCTCTCTCTCTCTCTCTCTCTCTCTCTCTCTCTCTCTCT